TTTTGAAATTTAAAACTAGAGTTTCTTTGAAAATGAATTTATTTTTGAATTTCTTGGAGTCCAATCCTAGTACTTTGATGAGATCGTCTTTGTTGAATCTATTCTTCTTGTCATTCTTATTGAATAGGAATAGAATGGGAATGGCACTTTTTTTGATTAAATCATCATTCAGCACTTCTTCAATAAGATGTCTTTATAAATGGAATCTAATGAAATGAATTTGTATGCTACCTGTATTCTGAATCACTGGTGTCGATGACATAGATCATGGCTTGGACATCTTGATAGAGGATCCTCCAATTTGATCTATGACGACCATTTCCGGACATATCGTACACGAGACAATACTTCCCTATTTTGGGACAAATAACATAGTGGATCTCCATGGTGGGCGTTGGGAATATCTCCATTCTTTAACTGTTGGAGAGAGTGCGCAACAGACTGGTTTTGCCTGCGTTGTCTAATCCGACACAAATGACACTGAATGCAACTTACATTTATTAAATTAATGAGTAATCGCAAGACGTACGGTAATAAGTAAACGAGAATCTCTTTGGGCGAGATAGACGACATGTTCAATGATGCTGAATTCAGTCAGGCTGTGAAGGATACGTTCAAGAAGTAATCGAGCACGGTGAGACATGATGGTCCAACCCAAACAACAAATATGTTTTATTAGAAGCCAACGATTTCACAGATTATGAGATTGAGAGCCAAGGGATCTCACACAGGAACCCGATGTCCTTCACTAAAGAAGGAGGAACGCAAAACCAGATGGGCTAGTTTAATCAGTGAGGGTCGAACAGAACATCACAAAAGGATACCCTCTGAAATAGAGAATATCCCAATATGTGCCTAATATGAGCAATATAGTTTCCTTTGTAGAGAGCAAGAGTAGTTGATTTAAAATTTGAGTGAGTTGCCCCAATCAATTAAAATGATGCTCTACTCCAACATGTACGAAGTTCAAAGAGCCAAGATGTGCGAAAACAAAACCATCTTGGATGACAAATTCATCTTCACCCTATTCAACACACTACAACAATTGGACAAACAGATAATTGAACCCTTACATTAGTAGACCAGACCTGTATTGAATTTCAAAATGCACTTTGTTTAAAATGCTGTGAACATCATCTCGGAGACCATTGTGTAGAGTGTTAGGGAAGCCTTGAGACATGACACGCGTTTAGGCATATTTTTGGAAGGCTTTTGCAAATTCTGGATAGTGTTGATTGACATCCAATTGTAATGGATGGGGAAGAGTTGTGCTGATTACATTGAGGCTCAAGTGAAGGAATTCAAGGAACAATTCAAAGAGGCTGTGGCTCAGAAGATCAAAGTGGAAGATCAGATGATTCAGATGGATAAGGAGTTTAAATCTATGGAGGCTCAATTCATTCGTAAACATGAATACTTATAATAACAGTTGTTGTCAGTCTAACAGGAATATCAAGATTACATAGTGGCAGTCCAGTAGATGAGTGATCTTAAGATAGCAGAGGAGAGAATGAACTCAGTTGGATTGAAGGCTTTGGAATTAGAGAGCATGTTCAAATAATATGATAAGGTGGTCTCTCAACATTCATTTGTATTCTAAAAGGACATCAAAGAATTGGGAACTGCTTTGATACAATAGAAAAAGTAGAACTAACCACTTCCAATGAAACATCAGGAAGCATAAATTCGGTTGGGATGTCCAAAATTGGCAGAAGAGAATTACTAATTGCATTAATTGAATTCCATAGGCATTTTTATGCAAGTGCATCCGTTTTAGATTCTGTATGAAGTCAATAAGGAATTAGAGATGGATTATCCAATTTTATTGGGCAACTTCCTGGATTACTTGTCTCAAATTAATGAGGTCTAATCTCATGTTTGTAGGATCTTTATAGATTGGGTGGGAGAGGAAGATAAGTTGAATGCCATCTTGACCTACTTTAGTGAATGCGATCTCGATATACCGATCAATCTATTTTATGCCATCATCTTTGGGATTCGTGAACATCGCCAATTGAGTTCAGTCTCTCTCAAGAAGTTACTCAAATATTATAAGGAATTGCAGGAGGAACACGATTATCAATTGAATGAACACTTCACTGTTTCTGAGGCACATCCTTATTTTTAATTGATGTTTTCAGAGGAATTCAATGAGAAGATCACTAATAGTTAGAAGCAATCGATGACTTTGTTGGAACTATTACTGATGCTGGCTCAACACTTCCTGTTGATTGAGAACAAGCAATGGGCTGGGTGGTTGTATAAGTAGGAAATCGAATCTGAGGATTTGAATATGAATGTGGTACTGTATTATTATTAAAATTATAATTAAGATCAAATAATTCATTGAGTTACGTGCCCAATTGAATCGGCCACTTGAGGAGAGCCTCAAATTAGTGAGACAACTCTCCTTGCTCCACCCTGACTTGTTTTATAAGAGCAAGCAAGCTCCCCTGGAGAGGATGAAGGCCTCGGTGCGGAAGGTGCAGCGGAAAAACTCACAACGATCTCCTCTCAAGAGGTCAAGTATTACTTTGATTAAAGCTATAAGTATGAAAAAGTGATTTATTAATTATATAAAAATGGGGAATACTTTGATTGAGGACAAAGGCAAAATCAATCTGATGAAGGCTTTCGAAACCTACAACACAGAGTAGGAAATAGGCACTCGTTAGACTCTATTCTTCGAGAATAAATTGTTCAAGACTTTGAGTTATAAGTGGCATCAATAAACTCTTCTGTTGAAGGTGCATCTGATGCGTAAACAACTCACGCTCCAGGAATTGCATATCCACACTCAAAATTTCCAGTATCTGATTGAGCAATTGGAACCCTTTCCAAATCTGATGCCATTCCACAACCTCATCAACTTCGGCAGCACGCCCAAACCGCAACCCTCTGAAATGTCTCTTGAATGCAACAAAGAATACCTGGCAGTCTCCAGACAATTCCTATACATCACTTTGGAAGAACGATTGCAATCGAATTACAAATTGCCCAAATGTCTATTGAACTTTTACGCCCTGCAATTCTTGAATGCAGTCAACACACTCCACAAACGCAATTTGTATCATGGACACATCCGTTCATCCAATGTGCTCCTCACAAGTCTGGATTTCCTAATCCTCGCTGACTTTGCATCATATAAGCCAATCTATTTAAACGAATTGGAAATCATTAGAAACATCTACAAATCGTCAATTCAGAAATGCACATTGGCTCCTGAAAAGTACTCTGATCTACAGGAAGTCCAATACCTCAACAATTTAACCAGAACCCAAGTAGTTCCCATGTAAGCCATGGACATGTTTTCAGTCGGCTGTGTCTTGGCCGAGATCTTCACTGGAGAGAGTCTCTTCTCCCTTGAATAACTACTGCAATTCAAGAAGGGTGAATATGAGCCAATCATAAAGGTCGATGGAATCGTTGGTGATCTAATACGCAATCTGATCTCAGTCAATCCAGAAATTAGATACAACTCAGAGTAAGCCTTAAATCTATTCTGCAATGAAATCTGTTCAAGTCAAACCTATGAATTGCTCCAGTACATCAGTATAGCATTGAATGTGAATGGTTATTTCATGCAGCCTGATGCTCGCATTGCCTTACTTCGCAAGGTCATTGCCACTATAGAGCGTAAACAGTTCCTTTACTCACTTCCTTTGGCTATGTAATTTATCAATTTAAGTAAATTCAATTAGATCTGCAAGGATTTTGAATTTCCACGCAAAATAGTTTAAATACAATTCACCAGTGGAGCAGGCATGGATGAAATCATTGCCAACTCACTTGAAAACTCAGGCAATCTGATTCAAAGAGAATTCAAAGAAGTGCACTAAATTACCTAATCAGTGTCGATGCAAGTGTCAATGGTTCAAAAACTTAAACAATCAATTCAAAAACAACCTGAATTCCAAGAACACAGGTAGAACTTGAGGATGAGCACATTTACAAATGTCGACATCAGACAGAACAATCAAGAATACATTATTGTGATCTTGTGGATTTCCAATTAAATCAGAAACTCTAGATTCATGTAAACCAGACTATGCGGATTGGAATTGATAGAATTCCTATGCCAATATATTGATGATGAACTCATCTACTATTTTCTGATGCCATGTTTGGGAATCCTGTGTGAAGACTCAGATTCCTAAGTGCAATTCTACGCTTTCTCCATAATGCTCAATCTGCTCAAGAACATCAAGAATCCTCCACAGTCATCCACTGACACACTCATTTTCAAATTGTACATCTGGGAGCAAATCAAGAACAGGATGAATGACATGAGTGCCAATCACCAACTGGCTCTGAAGATTGGAGACATTGCAGAAATACTACACAAGTACAACCGATAGGAGGAAAAGATTCTGTTCCTGTAAATCATACAGAAGAAGTTTCAGGAGAACAGGATCAACGAACTCACCATCATCATATCAAAGATCTATGAAGTGCTCAAATACTACGAGTGTAATCAAACTATAGAGATTCTGACACTTCTTATCTCTCAATTCAACAATATCAATCTTAAGATAGCCTTGCTTGATGTCTATTTGGATATCTACAAATACTATTCCAACACTGAAAACAGTGAGTTGCTCCTCTATTGTCTCCAATTCAACACGAGACAAGAGAGTGCTCTGTTTCGCATAATCCGATTCGTTAGGTAGGCCACCGAGGAGAAACTCTTGGAATTCAAAAAGATCGTTTCATATGTGAAGGAAATCTCCCCTTTGATTTTGCACCACAACCGATGGATTAGAGACGAAGCCAAAGAATTCATCACCATCTTGCTCAACAGGTATAGTAGCAAGGAGATCTTCTTCCGTTTTCATCCACATATCAAGAAGTACTTGAAATTGGATGTCCCAACCATCAACTTTGAGATCTTTACATCTCTTATCCAGAAACCTATTTGCACTAAGTGGTTCGATCAGAAAAACCAAAATGAGCCAAGATACCCATCCTTAACAGAACGGGAACTCTACAATTACAACAATTATTTCGAGGAATATTTTAAGAAATCAAAGAACATCCAGGAGACAGCTCTCCAACAATAGGCTTAGAAGGCGTAGTATCCGATAGCCAAGATAAATCAAAGGGTCAATGACTTTATTGAGGCTGCTTTCCGTGTAGGGTTGGTGCAATTAGACTAGAATAAGTGGGAAGACTTCTCGAAGAAGGGTAATAAGACATGGGAGGATTTCATTTAATACATCAGAATCAATAATGGATTTGATTTGTCGAATAAGCAAGACAATCTGTTGACGAAGAAGAAAGTGAAATTTTTATAGGAATTACAATTGCAATTGCAATACCACATACCTCAATCCAGCACTCAGTGGATCAATTTGTTCAATTACAACATAATAGCCAATCATATCTTTATTAAATCATCATAACTACAAATTTAGGATATCCAGTTTCAAAGAGTCCTCCAATTTCCAATTGCTAGACCATTCAAAATTAGCAATCAAATTGTAACCACCATCTCTGAACACAAAGGCATTGTTACATCCTTGCAGAAGTTCGGAGATCAAAGAAAATTCATCTCTGGCTCATATGATGGGACAGTTCGAATATACGACATGAAGAAGATCGAAGACGATTTTACCAATGGAAGCGTTGCTCAGATACGCATAAGTGAAGGGGATGTGCAGAGCAGAATCTCTGCCTTATGTGCATTGGAAGGGACTGATAGCTTTGTGGTTGGCACCAACACTGGGAGTGTGAGTCTGTATACAAATGATCGTCATACGAGCACATTTCTAAAGGGGGATTCTGAAATCAGGAAGATCGTTGATTAGGAGAACACATTCATGTATGTGACTGAGAAGGGCACTCTCAAGATTGAAGACATTCGTAGTAGGAATGGATAAAGCTTTAATATTGGAAGACAAAGGGGATTGGTTTCAAGCATGGTACATGATAATTATACTACTTTAATTGGTACAATCAATGGTTACTTGATTTTGTATGATATTAGAAGTACTATGATTGTGAATTTGTTCTAATTATTGAATCATGATGATCAAGCATTGCCAATATTCAGTTTGGCTTACATGAATAGAGTGTCTTAATTTGATGGAATGAGCAGTGACAGTTCAAAGTTGGTAGGCATTGGATATTAATCTAATAACAATGAAGTGGGATTTTGGGATTTGAATAAGCAGAACGAGGATTTGAATCCCGCACTCTTCCTGTATTGTTCAGACAAGAAACATCCAATAATAGAGACTCCTAGATTGCAATCAGTTTTGAAGTCAGAACAATTCATAAATCACAACAACAATTTGTCCACGCAATGCCATTATGACTTCTTGAATAAGAGTTATTAGGTGGATTTGATATCATATTTGAAAGACCCTTTGACATCGTCGGAGAGATTGGCTAAAGACCGTTGGTTGCGTGGTACCAAGAATCTGTACATCAATTTGAAATCAGCCTTTGAATGCAAGAGTACTGTGACTTCATTGATTTGCTTGACATCTCGGATTGATAATTAGAGACAAGAGAACACCTTCATTACTGCAAGTACAGACAGAAGCATACAGAGTTGGACATTGAACAGTGATGTGGCCAAACAGCAAGACAAGAACAATGATAGGGTATTGTGAATTGTGTTATTGTAGGAATTCCAAACGAATATTATAAGTTCGCCCTTCAATTCAATTCGGAAGTTCAAGCAGTGTCCAAGTGGGGATGTCTATGTGATTTAAGATTACGAATTCAAAAACCAAAGCAATTCTGGCAATTCTTTTGAGCACAAGGACTGCGTCACAGACATGATATATTTAGACCATGATAATAGTTATTTGGTTACTGCCAGTCGGGATCATACGATAAAGATATGGAAATGAATAAAAATATTATAATAAGAAATTAATTGATGGCAGATCTATGTCAAAACTGCAAACATAAATAGTTGAGATCTCGAATGATAGGCAAGAAATTCTAGTCCAACATTCTAAATCAGATCTAATAGATACGATCTCCACGAAACCACGATCCTCCTTACATCAATGTCATTGAATATTTGCAGAGCATCCACAAGAAGAGAGAAGAAAAGCCAAAAGAGAGTATCCAGTTTCATCGTCTGAAGACTCATACTTCAAAGCAAAAAACAGAAGTGCAAATGGAAGATGCAGCCACAACCACATCTCGTTTGGATTAATTCCCATCAAATTTCTACATCCCTCGAGGTGCAATGGCTAGCAAGGTAATGAGCAGTGCATTTTACAAAATGAAACGCATGTGTTCTTACTCGAGAGAGGAGTCTAAAAGAAAGAATCTAGAGATTGGTCCCATGTTTAATCAAGTCTCGAAATTCGTGTAACCAATGAGACCATGCACTGTGAGGAGTGTCAATTCCAAGATGGAGGAGAGATTGGGAGCAACATCGACTAGTGCCAGACAGGAGATGTTGAGACAGAGCAAATCAGAGATGCAATTGAGATTGCCAGTTTCTAATAAATTGAGCGAGGTGCAATCCTTGATGAAGAGGGAGTAAAATGCAATTATTTATTATTTATTACTTATTGATCTGAGTTCTTTGGGGGATTAAGTTTAGAATAATAATTAAATGTATTATCTAAATTACGAGGTATTACGGAGTAGATATTAGCAATTTACGCAATTCAACATTCTCGAGCAACTTGAATCGATCTATCAATCTCTTAAGGTAACACACCATATTTCGAACTAAAAAAGCTCTCCTTGGAGTCCAGAGATAGGAATACTTTCTTTTAGGATAAAGTGCAACAATAACCAGATTGCTTTCAAGTCAATCCCATTTATGGTTTTGCACAACAAGCCAATGAATTGTATGGCAGTTATGGACAACCCACTCAACTCTGCTTCTATATGCATCGTCAAAAGAGGTATCTAATGATTGGCACCCAACATTCAGTGATCATCTGCATTGAAGTGGTAAATGGGAGAGTGGAGTCCATCCAAGCCATACTCAATGCAGGAGAACGATAGACCAGATATGGCTCAGTGCTGGCAATTCAATGTTGGGAAAAGTATATGTTGGTTGGTTTTGAGAGAGGAGACATACAATTATACGAAGTAGGGCGCAAATGGGAACGCTTGCATCACGAATCCAAATTGCATTCCGGCAAAGTCGTGTAAGTCCTCTTCATACCCTCCTCCACCATCGAAGCACTCTCCCTCGATGAACATGGAGTCATCTACAAACACTCATTCACAGTGATGACAGTCATGGACAAATACATCGTCACTCATTCCAAAGACAAAATCTACAAGAATGGCAAAATCTATCACATCAAACGTAATACCCAATAACCAAAATAAAAACAATCCTCTTGGTGGAATAATGCCAAAAGTATATTCAAAAAAGAAGAAGAAAACAGTGAACTCACAGATCCCTCGGTCAGGCAATCCAGCGATAATGATGGCTAATTGACCAAGTTTGCTCTGGACATTAAGTTGATGCCTGAAGCCATGACTCAGTAACTCAATCAAAATATCCAACAAGTGGTCGTTGCTAGCCATCCTATATTCTAATCGTGTTGAAATTTCTCAAATTCTATAAAGGTAACAATACTGAATTCATCAATCTAGGCTCACTAAAATGCGAAATTGTGTATACTCTTAAAAGAAACACCTTCTCTATTGATACTCCCTAACAGGACAACACTGAAAGTGGAGAATTATCCTGGGGAGAGGGGTACTTCCAAAAGTCATATCAGAATGCCAAATTGTTATGTATAAGATGGGGTGACATATTTCATTTAGTCAAATGCATGAACATAGAAGATGAACTTGAAATTGTAGAGGGGTATATCAATTTAAATATTTATTAAGTGCCGTTTACAAGATGGAGAAAGAGAAAGGTAACATTATAAAGAGTTCATTTTTAACCAATAATATCATTTATGCATTTTCAGATTCGAATTGGGTTGCCTTGATTCATACCACTTTAATTTTAGTTTGCCAAGTAGGATGATGGAATAGTTATTTTGGAACCTAAATCCAGGATGCTATCTAAAGAGGACGTTGAACCTCAAACGGCTGAAATTTCTGTGTCTTATGAGGGTCCAAGCAAACCTTGTCAAGTGCAAATATATGAGAATGGCATTGTTTCATTGAGGAAGAATAACATATTAATTGAGAGACTGTAAACTTGGAATGAATATCTGGAAGACCTGATTGAGAAGAATCAATGGGAGAAAGCTATGCACTAAGGAATGCTCATCTACCAAGGATAAATCAAAATACTGAGTGAGATCGCCTCCTCTCTATCAGCACGTTAAGAATAGATGAGTTAAATGTTTTAGAAGATTGCCTTTACTCATATTATGTTTGCTCTGAAACCATTAGACATTCCATTATCTTAATAAGAGAAGGAGAATAAAATAAAAAAGACAATAGAGTTCTTGCTCAGAGTTGATAACATGTCATATGCTTTAGTTGTGCTGAAGGATTTCTTCAAAGACATCCAATAGATGAAATTATATTTCACTTGTTTAGATCCCTTCATCAAAAACAAGTAAATTGCATTCATTCCTGAATCCTTCTTTGTTGACTATGTGAACTTCTACCAAAACGATAAGGAAATGATACAACAACTCGTACTTCAATTAGATTTACATCAATAAGAACCTACACTACTAATTAAGGTCTGCATGGATTATCACTTGTATAAGGCCATGATATACTTGTGCACAAAGTAGGGAGATTTCATCACTGGATTAATGAAACTGATGAATCTTTGGGAAAATAAATGTTAATCAGAGTAGAAGGAGCATTGCCATATTGAAAAGGAGAAGTTGCGTCAATTCAGGATTAAGCTAGGCTATAATATTTTGGCATATGTTCGTATGTGTGTAAAGGGAATCAACATCTTGGGAGAACGTGTGCCACATAATATCTATTTTGATATGTTGAGGGGATTAGTATCCTTCATTTTCAATACAGAAAACCTTAAACAATTCATACTCATTGACATTCGGCTATCACTTCAATTGCTTATGCAATTCATGCAACATCACATCTACACTAACATCAAATCAGCCACACTCCCTGGAATTAAATTTGAGATCATTGATCATGTTCCTGAAATCCTGAAATTGATGCTGAGTGCCATTGAAAATACTAGACAAGAAATCAAGACTCAAGAACACTATCAAATTGTATACAATGACAAGACTCAGCAATATCATTAAATCACCCTTGCTGAATAACTTAACCATTTCTTGTTATTCTACTCTCAATTACTCATGTAATTCCCAACTCAACTGACTCAATAATTCAAGGAGAAGCTATTCATAGAACTCCTCTCTCCATCCTATTTTCAAACCGTGAAACTATATAACTTCAATACCCAAGATTCAGATCCTATTTACTTAGAATCCTATGAAGTCAATAAAAATGCCTATCTGATTCACATCTATGATACGAGTCAATTGAACGATATCCCCATTGTATTTGATGAGAGCACTCAATATCCAGAATTCAGAGCCTTTCTTATTTATAAACAAAAAGGTTATTTCGCTTGCATTTAGAATTATTTCCTAATGTCAAACTCAATAATGAAAAGAAACGTATTCGAAGTTGTAGAGCGACTCTTGATTCATAGTGACGAGCAATTCCTCATGCAATTATAAGAGTTTATCATTGATAATTGTGATGCATTAATGACGATTAGTTAATAATATACCAATCGAATTTTCAAGGAATACTTCCATGATGTAGAATTGCAAAGGAAAATTATTCAGAAATTAGAGAAAACCCCTCAAAATCAATTGCATTACCTCAAATAATACATAAAGAATGAGAAGGCCTCTGATTCAATCAGATTGCTCTACCTTGAACTCCTTTGTTAAAGAGCTCCTAAGGAAGTGCTGAAGGATGTCCAGAATGGAGATTTCCCTTTGGATGATGCCTTGGCGATCTGCGAAAAGCACAAGGTGTATAATGCTGCTGCCTATTTACTCCAAAAAAATGGAGCCATCTAGAAGGCTCTGGATATGTTGACATTGCTCTTCATC